GGCATCTCACCTAAGCTATTTGTCTGGTCTCTCTCTATAATCAGTGAAAGCAGATAAGCCTGTCTGGTGACGACTCATTCCATCTATTTTAGGGTGGGGTGAATCACCCCTTTGCAGCTGCCTTTCTCTATCTGTTGACTACAGAAGGAATAAAAACAAATCCCTTAGACCAGAGATACTTAATCTGAAGTAGCTAGAGTTACAGCTAGAATCACCCACTCTTGGTAATACTAAGAAGCACAGTCACAGAACACTTTCTGTTGCCTGGATGTTGTCTCGTGTGGGGAAAGGATTGCATGATACTAAAAATAAAAGTGATGCATCACCATCTCATCTCACAGGACCCAGCTGTTCCTTTTACCCTATTACATTTTCACCTTCTGTATCTTCCTTGGATGCCAGAGGGGTTTTTCAGAACTCAAATAGGTTGTCTGAGTGCAGCAGCGCCAGCTGTCCCAGCCCATGTTCTGCATGCTCCCACAGCTGTGGAGAGAGGTCTCCAGTAGCCACAGCAGGGATGGGTGGAAGAGCTAAAGGGCATTTCCTCAGTGACTCCCAGTTCTGGATTGCTGGCTGACTGCAGAGGCAGGAAGAACATAATGTATGATATAATGTATAGAGTAACTACACATGCAACTAAGCACCACAGTGCCTTTCCTATGACTTTGACCTAGAGCTGCCTCGGCTCTCTATTCTCTTTTGTGCATTAGAGCTCACTTTGATCTCACTCATCGGAGCCACACACCAATATATTCCCAGCTTAAATACTAGTCCAAGTGAGATGTGAATCTGGCCCAGCTCCTCACTGTGTTTCTGTCACCACTTTGTTCAGTAAGAACAGCCACAGGGTAAGACACCTTGCCTAGCCCATGTGGCCCAGCTTTCACTGTGGCTGACTGGCTGCACCTCCAGATGAGATCTGTGAAGGGACATTGGACATATGTTGGAGGATCAGCAGATCCCCACCATGGGCATGTGGTTTGGATTAGCCCTGTGGGAATGTCATAGGAAGCCGAAGTGGGGTGGGGTGCAGGAAAAGGAAAAAAAGTCAAGACAAACAGTTTGGAGGGAGGGAAAAGCAAGTAACTGGTTTTTTAACAGCATGTAACATCATTTTATAATTGTTATCTTTATGTCTGTGTAGGTGCTTGTGTGGTCTTATTACTCTTTTCCTTCTGTCACTGACTGAAATCGTTTAAGCAGCGTGTAAATTACAATTAAAAAGTATCCACACTAGCTTGTCCCAGGGGTTGATTTTGTTACTCAGAAGTATCTGGTCCCAGACCAAGGTCTTTTCCTCATGATGCCAATGTGCTACGTGGCAAGAGCTTCTGTTTCAGAGTTTTCCATCTGGGCTTTTGAATCCTAGGCAATTGCCAAGCTGCCCGCCAGGCTGGTTAGGATTGCTCAGGGTAGCAGTCCAGAGCCTGGTTAGCTAACATTTTCCTACAGTTACATAAGGAGGGTGTAGAATACCAGTTAGGGAGGAAAATTTAAGCTTGTCTCTAAAAGGCAAAGTGAATTTCACTCATCTCACCTGCTATATCTGACCTCATCCTCCACCAGCTCACTGTCGCTCAATAGCTGTTTTCACCTTTTGTGCTATTGTTGTTGTGAAAACCTCTTGTAAGAGCTCATTCCCTGGCCAAGAATATTTGCTTATTGAGTATTCCTTTATCAGTAGTGGCTAATTTGCATTTTCTCAGTTTGCAGCTTCTTCTTTCTCTTTCTTTCCAGTATGTCCAAACGGGCAGCATCTTCTGCACTGGTTCTGCACTGTGTCTAGTCCCTCCTCACTCTCTTCCCCAGCTCTTCCCTCACTACCATCTCAACCAGGCAATGCAAATTCAAATTCTTACCAGACATTTGTTCTAATATTGCTTTTAAAAGAGCAGTGATGTGAACTCTGGGATACCTGGGCAAATTCCAGCTGGAAAATCTTGCTTAAAAGAACTTCCTTTAGTAGTGACTGTAGGAAATGTTGTCCTTCCCTCTTTGTCCTACCAAAAGTGGGTGCGATCTCTCTACAGTCAGCCCATCCTTGGCTGAATTTCAATAGGAGGATGCAAATAGGATAAAAATGACTTCACGACAGATTTAAAAAAAAAAAAGATGTCCTCAAATAATTAATATGAGGAACAATCTAGAGGAAAGCTGTTATTAGCAATTCACATGTGGGTGTTAAGTGTCAACCCCCAAAAACTGCTTTCATGAGTCACCTTAGAGTACCCCAGTGCCTTGATACAAAGAAAAAGTATATCTGCAAAAAAGTTGTCATGGAAACATAAAAATAGCTCTGGAAGGGATGTTGAAGGGACAGCTAGACTTTTTCCTTGTTACAAGATAAGATCAAATATAATTTAACCATTTCCGACAGATGTTCTGTCTATTCTTTCTATTCTTGGAAACCTCCTCAGCTTCTCAAGGTAACCTGCCCCATTAGTTCGATTTTTCTCAAAAGACGGCAATTTCTAGACAGCTGATCATTCTTGTTGGTATCCTTATTCCTCTTAGTCTACAATTTTTTCTGAAGAACATTTTCCCCCAAGAGACTCAGGTTCTGCAGGTGAAGCTTTAGTAGTGTCAATTTGAGGTGAATTGTTACTTTCTGCATCTTATTTATTACATGCCTATGTGGTGTTTACATTTTTGTATCAGTATGGCCCTGCTGGCACATGGCAGGATTGTAACTACCAGAGCTCCCAGAGAACATATTCTACCTCCAAAGAGAGTGAATGAAGTGTGAATACATCATATAGTTCTAATAGAATGTTACAGAGTGGGCCTTCCCTTTCCACAGCTCTGGAAATGCTATGTAGCAGACTAATTTGGATGGCAGGAATTGTGGTAAAATTTAGGTTCTCCTGTTTGAACTGAAATGATATTAGCTGGGACAAATACCACATCCTTACATGTGGGTTCAGAGTTCACTGCCTGGAGTGACAGATGTGTGTGGAGGAACAGGTCCAGAGGGGCTGTTCCTATGTTCTCAGAGGTGACACCTTCCCTCTGAGAAGCCAGTGTTTGCGTCATGTGTTTACCTCTGAGCTGGGCTATTGGCAAGGTTCGGGCACGAGATTATTGATCAGGTTGTGCTGGGAAAGTTGAACCACCCAGAGTACACAGACTGTTTTGTTTCCTCTTGGAATGTGTCTGCTGAGGGTGGTGTGGCTTCTCATGCTGTCTTAACCACTTTTACTTCTAAGACCTATTTGAAACAAAATTATTGGATAAAACTAGTTGAATTGTTTTATTTAAACTGTTTTACCGTTGAAAAACATGTGTTTTCACTGCACGTACTTTCAGGGAGGAAAAAACTGGTGATGGTGGGGTTTTTTGTTGGATTTTTTTTAATTATTATTTCTCTTTAAGTCATACACTGAAATGATCTAGTTTAGACATTGCATTCAACTTTCCAGGGAAAAGGTGCAATTTTGTTTATTTGTACCTCTGTACTTTTCTGTACTCAGCCTTCTCGGCTGACCTGTATCTCCTGTGATATGATTCCTGCAATATAACTGTCTCTCCTTATCATGATGGATGACGGTGGTATTTACAGTTTGATAAGCTCCTATTTAAGAAACATCTGAACTCCAACTTCTGGATTTTAAGGCAAGTATTTCAAGATTCAACTTCTCTGCCAGTGAAAAGCTATCTTCTTCCTCCTGAGAAAATTAAATTATAATGTTCTGTTGAAAAAGAAGTTGGTGCCTTGAGCACCTCTGGATCTTCCTGTGGACTTGAGAAATATCCATTTGCAGCAGGGCAGGTGGGATGCCCTTCTGTGATGGCACCTGTCTTTTATCAAGGAAATCCCCTTGAAGACATCTCCAGGCACTTACTTACACCACATCTCCTCATCCAGGAGGCTCGCTCCCTTTGCAGGAGGTGGGGATCTTTGAACATACACCTGGATGTGGAAACGATTTGTTGTCCATGAGAAAGCAAAACCCTCTCTGTGTCCTCTACCAGAGCTTTCTACTAAGCTCGACCCAGTGCCTCCAGGCAGCAGCACCACCCTGCTGCCCATTCCCCTCCATAGCTTCATTCTCCCTGCAGGCGCCTGCTGGGCTCACAGTTGAGCTGAAATTAATTGGCAATACTGCTCACCAAGTTCAAAGAGCTGCAGCAATTTCATGTGGCAGAGAGGACAGAGAGTATAGATGGGTAAGAGGCAAGCTTGCTGTCAGCTTTTGTTAGCCACAAAAAAAAGGCATTAAAGATCCTTGGCCTTTGTGTAGCAGTGCTGGGCATGTAACCAGTAATTTCAACCTGCTTGTTAACAGGTAGATAGATGAAAACTCTGCAAGGTCATGTTGTTTTAGTGCTTAAACAGGCGTTTTACATTTGGTGAGAGGTAAGTGAGTAGTGATAGGGTGGAAACCTAGATATTGTTCAAGAAAAAATGTGCCTGGCCAGGAAGGAGAAGAAATCCGTACCGAAAGCAGTTTGCAGTGACCCAGAACATCCATTCATATCATGGTAAAGGGTGTGGACTACCACCACAAGCAGGTCTCAGTGAATTTGTTGCTCACCTTAGGGAAGGAGAAGACTGCATGCAGGGGTACTATGCATCCAGGACACATCTGCCTGTGCCAGCTACAAGAGCCAGGCCAGAGGCTTGCACAGTCTCTCCTTCCTCACACTCTCAAGGACATCAGAAGAGCCAGTGGATAAAATGAACCAGGACAGTTTTTGCTGGTTCAGGGTTGTGGCCACCCTTCTTCTGAGGCATAGTAACTGAATATGAGCTTTTCCATGCTTGCTGCTCCCAGGACACCAACATTTCCTTTCTGAAAAAAAAAAGGATTGAACGAACATGCAGGACTCAGAAAACATAGCAGCCAGCCTTTGAGCTACCATGGGCCACACAGCCACTGCAGGTGTCTGAGGGACATGTGCCATGTCCTCTCCTGCATCGTCTCTTCAAATGTGCTCCAGAAAAGGATTGGCTCCTCTATGACCAGAGGCTGTTGTGTGTCACCTTGGACAGTTGGATGTCCATCATATCCAGGCTGGGTCAGAGGACTGAATGTCAAATCAGTAATCACAGGAAAAGGGACTTGTGTCTGTGACTACATCGTTGCACATCAGGAGGACTGAGGAACATGGTTCAAATGGGTCCTGAGGAAAGATGGTGGAAGACCTGGACAGGTGTCCTCTGAGTGGCCAAAGGGGGGAACTTCGGCTTCTTATGTCACACCTGCTTTCCTGTGTCTCCCCTGAGGCTCTGTCTGGACCTGTTTGAGCACCAGTTCTCCCATGTCAGCACTTTTCCATGATATCCTTTCTAGTTTCTGCTGTGAAAAAAATACAGCAGTGAAAATGTTTTTCCCATTTCAAAACAAATGACAAAACTAAATGAGAACAAAGGTGATTTCCCTTCCATTCACTAGTAAAGACTGACTTTTCCATAATAAAGTTACAAATACCAAATGAAAGGGAACAATATAGTATACTCTAGATTAAGAAAATGATCATCACCTTCCTCCCTACAGCTGGCACAGACAAGACTTTTGAAACTGTCTGCCCAAAATTGTCCCCCCAAGCACGCTGTTCAGCCATCTGGATAAGCTGTCTGATTTTCAGACATTCTGAGCCTTTTACAATTCCCACGTGATTCTGCAAACAGAAAATCTTGGCCTCTGAGCCTTGCTGTTAAATTAAGCAGCGCCAGGTCTGGCTGTGATTATTAGAGCTGAGAAAAACCTCCATTTGTGTTCCACTGCATGCTAGGCAGAGCTGGCCAGTGTCCCAAGCAGACCTGTGCTAGGTTAATTTTTCAAGAAGACTTGCACAGCTGCACTGAGAATGACACCCAAAAATGTGGCCCCACATATAGAAATACTGTGATTGGACTCTTGTAACTCCAGTATGGATGCAAAATAGGTCTGAAACTGGTGTAGGTACCAGAAGTGGAAGTGGTGAAACAAGTGGTAGTGGAAAAGGCTGCCAGGATATTGACATCTGAGAAATTTGACGTGCTCTGAGAAATGGATTTGAATTTATTGAGGTGGACCCACTTACGAAATGGAAGAAAAATTCCTGTTTCAACACATGTTTCTAGTTTGTATACTAAACCGCTTTCGCTTTGATGTTCTGGAATATGCATTTTTCAAATGTGTGTTACAACGCAATACACAAACACCCCCATTTTATCAAAATGAAATCTTCATAGGCTTGAGACAAGATTTCTCTTTATAAAATAGATTCAGAAGCTTTGTTCCAGCTTCAAATGAATCAACCAGGAAAATCTTTAAATCTTTCACAGAACAGAATTTTCTTCCTCCAGACATATGTCAGCAGCTGCTGCAGCTGGTGTGTCTGCCTGGATCAAAGGGATTGGGAAGGGGTGGTGAGACGGCGTTGCATTCATCCGGCATGTGATAGTGAGCGCAAGGGTTAGTGCCTGGAATCATGATGTCATCGTATAAATTATAGAAAATCATCAGAGTCAAGGGAGACCTTTGTGTCTCTTTCCTGGTTTGGAGAATATTTATTTTGCAAACTGGCTGTGGAAATATCTAAAGTACAAGTCACAGACAGTCAAACCTTTATATTTTAATGGGAGTTTTGAATTAATCAGGAATAAAGGGTTTAAAAGTTAGACTGATATTTCTGCAGACCTACTCTACTTGCGTATTGAGTAGATACTTGAATATTTGAGTCACTAAATGGGATACTTGGCAACAACAGTGGCTTTTAGAATGATACTCATCTTCTTGTGCTTTGTTTTGTCAAGGAATATTATGCTGTCAGGGTTAATTCAAAGCCATACAGAATTTGGCACCTCCCAGGTTGCTTAGCTTGAACATGGCCAGTGAGTTCATGTGACTTTGAACTCATGCTGCTCTCCTCCCTCAGCTTTAGCTCTCTAATGATGCCTTTTTGTTGATTCATTGCCTGTGAGTCCAGAGATAAGCTCTCCTTTTCCTTGTAGCTCAAATCATCTGTGAGCACAATATAGCCAGTATGATTCAGCTGTCTGTCAGAGCTCCCTGAGTCTGGAAATGAAGCATTCCATGCCCATCAAGTTTCAGATAATCAACAGGAGAAGCAGTTAAGAAATTACAAGTTACAGTCCTGCTGCTTGAAAGAGAACCAAAATTGGTTCTGGTTTACCTTAACATGCCAGTTTACAGTTTATGGCAGTTCAGGAGTGTTTAAAGAGACATTTAGCCATGCCTGCAGTTGGGGTGGGAAACTCCAAGGAAAGGTGGGATAGAAAGAGTGGCAGGCAGTCAGGTCAGCTCTCCTACACTTGCCATAAACCCGTTAGTGAGTCAGAGCCCTCACCCCTTAAGTCATTAAAGCCTTGTCTGCCTCCGGCCCTTAGACACGTACTGGAAATATGGGTGTCAGCCACCAGTGTTGCAAACTGCATGGGCTTCCTGGAACAGGCATAGTGAGCCACATGGCAGGGAGAACCACAGGCATTGATGTTCATGAAGCAGTACAGAAAGCTTTTCTTCAGGACAGACGTCTCGTTTGGGTTTATGAATGTACCCGTCCTAATGCTTTGCAAAATGTCTTTGGTTAGAAAAACACCCTTTTTAAACAAAATGTTGTCATTTTTGATAGCAAAACTCTGTAGATGTAATACTAGGAGTGGGTTCTTTGGAAGGTGAAGGGAATGTTATTGCTCTCTAGAATTATCTAACAAGAGGCTGTGGCTGATCAAAGTGGTACAGTGGTAGAACAAGAAGGAACAGACACATGCTGAAATGAAGGAAGAGACACATGCATTAGAATGAAGGAAAAACTTTTCCATCATGTGGATAAATAAATCTTGGAGAAGGCCCCAGAGATGCAGGGAAGCTCCATACTGTGAGATTTTCAGTACTCAGCCAGAAAAGTGCCTGAGAAACCCAATCTCACCTACCTGGAGCAGGGTGCTAAACTGCGCAACCCTCACTTGCATGTCCACCTCAAAATTATTAATGGTTCTACAGCTGTGACCAGCTGAAACCCACGTCTTTCCCATCCCCACTACCTCCCCCCGACAAAAAAAAAAGCAATTCCTAACGAAAAGTCTCTAAAGATGAAGTTACAGGCAGCAGCTAATATTTTCCCAACAAGAAAAGGCAAGAAGAGTAGCAGTTGTCCTGCTCTCCTTGCTCACATCTCCATTCCTAGATATGTGTTGCCTTCTCTATCTTGTTTATTCTGGTGTTCATTGAGCCCCAGCCTGACAGAGTGCTATCAGGGGTGGCACAGGCTCAGGGCAAATCAAGTCTGTCCATTTGAGGATGCTTTGGAAAAGGTGTTTGGAAAAGGTGGGATGTGGCAGTGTTTGGAAAAGGTGGGATGTGGCAGAGAAGAAGCCTTCTCCTTCCTTTCAGCCATGGTGACCTGCTTGATTAGTTCAAGACAAGGCATATACCTGCACCCCAGTGAAGTGTCCATGGTGCAGACCATTCAAAAACCAAAAAGTGCCGCACTTCCAGCTACAGCAGCATGCATCATACAGCAGTGCTCCTTCTCATTTTTCGGGTGACTATCCCTAAGGAACTCACAGCAAATATTAAGAGCGCAAAATACCTGTGTGCTCACGATGCAGGCTCTAGAATAGGTTTCACTCTCTTTTCCAGGGAGCAAATCCAGGGGAGCTGTGCAGGGACCTGCTCCGTCCCAGACCTGTCACTGCCATCCAGCGGGCTCCGGTGGAAGCGCCGTGCCCTGTGTCCTTCCCTGCCTTTGCCGAGTGGTACCTCCTGTCCCACCTGTGTGTGTCCCCGCTGTGCTCTGTCCCACTACCGTTAGCAGATGGGGTTGCTGTCATGAGGAGCCCAGAGGAGCCCAGGGGAAGACACGCCCAGCCCTTGTGCAAGGGCGTGTGACCAAGGTGCCATAGAATCATAGAATTATAGAATCAGCTGGGTTAGAAAGGACCTCAGAGATCATCGAGTCCAACCCATGATTCACTACTGCCATGGTTGCTAGACCATGGCACTAAGTGCCACATCCAGTCTTATCTTAAAAACCTCCAGGGATGGAGAATCCGCGGCTTCCCCGGGCAGCCCCTTCCAATGGCTGATTACCCTTTCTGTACAGAATTTCTTCCTAATATCTAACATAAACCTTCCCTGGCACAGCTTAAGACCATACCTTCTTGTCTTGCTGATAGTTGCCTGGGAGAAGAGACCAACCCCCACCTGACTACAACCTCCTTTCAGGGAGTTGTAGAGAGTGATGAGGTCTTCCTTGAGCCTCCTGTTCTCCAGGCTGAACAACCCCAGCTCTCTCAGCCTCTCCTTATAGGACTTGTGCTCCAGTACTTTCACCAGCCTCGTTGCTCTTCTCTGGATCTGCTTCAGCACCTCAATATCCTTCCTGAACTGAGGGGCCCAGAACTGGACACAGTACTCCAGGTGTGGCCTCACCAGCGCTGAGTACAGGGCAAGAATCACTTCGCTGGACCTGCTGGCCACACTGTTCCTGATCCAGGCCAGGATGCCATTGGCCTTCTTGGCCACCTGGGCACACTGGCTCATGTTCAGCTTCCTGTCAATCCAAACTCCCAGGTCCCTTTCTGCCTGGTTGTTCTCCAGCCACTCTGTGCCCAGTCTATAGGGCTTCAGGGGGTTGTTGTGGCCAAAGTGCAGGACCCAGCACTCAGCCCTGTTGAACTCATCCCGTTGGAATCAGCCCAACTCTCCAGCCTGTCCAGGTCCCTCTGAAG